ATAAACGCAAGCTAATTTCTTTGACGAAAATATCTCTTCCCTTAAACATAAAGCCCTCGAGTGCTATGCCGTAATCAGCTAGATAAACAGAGAAATGTTAGCCAATGAAACCAACAAGAAAAAATCAAATTACATTCTAAGATGATTTTAATTTCTTTCCAGCCTATGCATTTATATATATGGTATACACTATTCAAAGGAACATGCAGTTAAAATATACAAGGAAATATATATTCCGAAGCATTATTCATGTTCTGCATAATCTGAAAAATAAATATTCGAAACTTAGTTCGTTCTTAATGTAAGTTTGTTTCTTTAATGCCTGTCAATTAACGTTGCTGTACTAAACAAATCCCAATATTGCTATTTCTCTATTAAAGGTCTTCGCAGAAAGAAACCTTAATGGGACTAGTGCAACGTTTTATTGACAAGAAAGAGCTAAGCTGTAAATATGCTCTTATCATTGAATTTATTAGCCTATTAGTATTTAGATGCTTAGCTCATATCTGGAATAGTCATAAATTGTTATGTACTTTTATGATCGGTATAAATAATTCATATTTGTAGTTAATCTCAGATTAAATGCCTCCTTTCCTTTACTTTTGCAGTGTTCTTCCTTAGATTTCCCACTTCTGAAAAATATATCAAATGCTATAAGTGTAGGAGTGATTCGTACATTTAAAACCAAGCTATAATGTACGAGCTTTTGATTCTTTATGTTGCTAGAAAGATAATAAAATTGATATTTGTCAAAACAAAGTCCATATCAATTTGCAAAGGCGTTTGCTACTGATTTGAAAATAACTAAAACAACTGCAGATTTACCCTTTTAGTATTCATGGAGGTTTATGTTTTTTTAACCGTATGTTATTTTTAATTATCTTACCAGCTTTTCCTTCTTCCTTATACGATACTTTCTTGAAGAAGATGAGTATCTGGAAATGATACATAATATAAAATCCCTAAGAAAACAGAACACCAATTTGGCCTCACTGGGCTGGCAATGTACTTGTATTTCGATAACGGACTTTTTGCCACTTAAGGAACTCCTCGCGGATAAGGTTTGAACCCTTCTGAATTGTGATGAAAGAAGTAAAACTAAACATTTTAAATAACTTGATTAAAATTTCTAAAACAGTTTTAATACATAAATTTATAAAAAAATCATCCTGTCACAAATAATTATACAAATTATTCAATTGGTATATATTTAACTGTAGTATATGAAATTAAACTTTGCCTGTCCATGCTTCTTGTAACACATTTGAAGTTCCAATGTGGCTTTGCATTATTCAACAGACATTTATTATGTAGTGTTTATTTAAATCCACACATGATGAAGCACATTCGGTTGAACTGATACGAGACATAACAAAGCGGATTTTGAGTTATCTACTATCGTATGGAAATAGCAGCACAAAAACAATCCCCACAGGTGTAAGTGGGGGGACACCAGAGTTTAACCATAGGTTCTACAGGTGTAGTCCCACCGCAGTAACATTGCACATCCGCTCCAGTTTTGAAGGAGAGCACCCCGGGAGGCGGTTCCGAGGGTCTCCCATTCTTCTTCCTCTACCACCTACTACTCCACAAACAAGCAAAGCAAAATAGCAAAGATTGATATCTGGTAAATTTAGAGACGAGGTAAGGAATGCACCTTCAATGGAGATTTAAAGGGCCCAGCTTCGAGATGCGGGCCGTTGAAGAATCCATAAGATCATCACTCTTCCATCTCTTTATTAGATTCGGTCCTGGAACTGTGTGTTGTATTTTAATTCAAAATCTGTTTGATACACAATTAAACTGAATGATAAAAGTTCTCGCAGTTTTTTTATGGTAGGTTTTAAGTCCTGTCGCGCAAAAAATCAGACTCTTTCCAAAACTGCTGCAATGCTCAGGAATTTGCTGCAGTAATTTTTGAATCCCAACAAACAAAGACGTTTCTGAATCTAAAGAATTTAAAGCGATGTAAGAGGCTCAGATGAGATGTAGTAATCTGATTTGCCGCCTGTGAATCCAAAGGTAAACCACTTTGTCGAATTCATGTTTTAAAACTGCTTCAATGCATTTCAAGTGGCCCTCCACTCCTATATTGAAAGTCGTTTTCTATTTGCACGCAGAAGTAATTAATAAAGAAATAATTAAAAAACTAACAAAATAAAACTGAATATTATATTACTTTGTGTAGACGCATTTTAAATACAAGTACACTTACTAGAAGTCCGTTTTGAGAAAATTCAATTAAAATATTTATCTTTATCTTAAAAGATATACAATTCCTATAAGGATAATTCAGCAGAAACAATTAGTTATAAAATTAATCTAAAAATAGAATAGACATTTTTTCCTTCTGTTTGTCTGACTTATTACGGTAATCCAAATGAGTATTTCAGAAAATTGCATGATTCCGTTTCATAATATTTCTCTTTGTTTAAATGCTCATACGATCTAATATTTCCTATACGATAGCTGTAAAGGAAGAAGCAGTATTAGTTAAACAAACCACATTATGCTATCTCAGGTTTAATGCTGAATCTCAGCGTAGGAAAAGGAACCTGAGGGATAAGATTTGCATACATCTGTTTGTTAAACTTTTAAATAACAATTCAATGAACCTGAAAGTAAATTAAATCTTTAATTAGAAGCATAATTTATCAGCGTCTATATTCTTCAACAGGTTTTTAGGCTGAGTTAAGGCATAATATCTCGTCGGTTAAGGCATGTAATCATCTTCATGGAGCACAATCGTTTTCGGTATCCTTTGTAAATATTTTTGGTACTTTTTTATAAACGGAAAAAATTTTATAAACGGAAAAACGTTTTTATAAACGGTTTATGCCTGGCCATTTAGAGCCAGGCATAAACACTGGCATGAAATCTCAGTAGATGATGGCAACTGTAACGCTACTTAAAACGGCATCAAAAAATACCTATTATATTAAATCTATACAAGGTAAAAAAATTGAAGGCAAATACAAAATGATACTGACGTCAATGATACTGACTCATGGTTCTTCACAGATGTAAGCGAGTCACACATGGCCATGCACATTATGACAGCGTCGCCAATTCAGCTTGGTAGATGCAATATGCGCTACGATTTGTATTCAAGGAAACCTACAGTACTGTCTCAGATCACATAATATCATAAGTAACGACTGCAATCTATTAAAAATAAGTAAAACTTTTATAAAATACAATAAATAAAATTCTGAATGGTTTCAGATTTTAAATTAAGTCCAAAGAGGCTTTTTTTAGCATTTTTTGTTTTACCTTTATTTATTAAATATCATGTTCTTCGTACTTAAACCATAAATTTCAGTTCAACAGCAATATCGCAAAATAATTTTAAAATGAGCATATCTTTAGAATTTCCGTTAAAGAGTCTCGCGAGCTGGAAATAAAACTATTTTTTTTTCGTTCAGTCTTGCCATTGCTCGCTTTGAAATTGTTTAGTTTGTTAATCAAAAATTCGTTGAAATGTTACAAAATATGAAATCTTTAATAAAAAAAATTTCAAATTCAAACTAGGGCTTTCACATGCCAATATTCTATAAAAGATTATGTTATTCAAATTTTGATGGCTCTAGGTACCGTTGTTTTACCACAGTGCGAGAACAATGCATACATTCATGCAGATTCTTCGTTATTTAATTTCTTTAACCCTTTCGCCGTACTCTCCTGTCCGCCGAAATTTCTCCCCAGCGGCCCTTTGTATTTCGCAGCGTGTAATGTTGTTTTCTCTGTACATGCATAACTTTCCATACATAACTTTCGTAGTGGATAAATGCAAATGAATATTAACTAAAATTATAAGGAAATAAAGCATAATGGAAAAGTAATAATATATCTTCTTATTACTAACAGCAGGATTAATTTGATAACATCTGAGATCCAGACGGTCCACTCCTCCCATTTTGTTGTTGTAATATTTTACAATTATTGTTTTTTCTACAGTTCTTTTCCGTGTTTCAGCATCAATCATACAGTTATTATGGACTGTACTCATCAAACGTATATCCTTCTTGTCTTTCCAATTCACAGCCTCATTTTTTTCTCTTCTTCTGCTGACTAGACGTTGAAAATCTCTCACTGTCTTGTATCTTATGTAAAATAGCGCGAATATACATAAAACCCGGGGGAATTCAATTAGAAATACAGTGCCTGATTAGTACTGCCCTCTAGTAGGTAAAACAAGAATAAAAACTCAAACAAGTAGAAAGCGTTTTAAACGTTTAAAAGATTTAAGATGTAGAAGAACGCTTGAAGCGCGTTACGTACGACGAAGAGGTTAAATATAATACAGGGCGATAACATTTGGTGGCAACAATTTGAAAAGCGAAATAACGCTTATCGTGAATCGACGCAAAATGCCAAACCGAAATGAATAGTCCTTCTGGGCAAAATTTATGTTTATCATAAAACGCTTCTTGATAAATCATCATTGAAATTAATTATCGGTTGAATCCTTCGGAACGTTTTAATTGAGCTTCAGTAACTGGCTGTACTGTTCCATCTTAATATTTTCATATCGGAATTACGTTTCTTACAGGAGGATTCTGTACTCCTCTAAAAAATTTGCTAAATTTGTATAAGATATTTATTTGCCCTTCTTCATTAGTTTGTCAGAGACAAACGTGAACGTTTTCGAAACATGGGTGTCATAGTATTAACATTATCTAAAACTGAAAGTACTATTTCTAATGAATTCTGAAAAAAAAAAGTAATGAACTCCATATGCATAGCATTTTAAGTACTATATACTCTGAATTATTGCGTAAATGAAATGTGTAATATGAATACGAGTCGATTTTCCTTGAAATTCCACCACGAAAAATAATTCTGTCCTCTTGTGTGTTTTGCCTTAATTAAATGAGCAAACATAGTTAATATAAAAAGAATTCCGTGTCTTTAACTCTTTACAAAAATTAATATTTTCAACCGGTACTGTTTATAAATAGCAAGCATTAAATCGAATATTTTATTCTATACTTTCATAGATGTTATAACCAATCCAAAGACTGGTTCACTGATTACACCAAGTCTTCCCCGGCGTTTGGAACGTAAGATAAAGAAAGTTAATAATAAATCCCTCAAAAAGGAAGAAGAAGAATATATGGCTGAAGTATTTGGCACGAAAGAGGAAGATTATACAGAAGGTCTGGAAGAAAGCGAAAGTAAAATTCCAAATGGGTCATATTTTGAATGTGTGTGTATTACATAAGTGTCTCACTGATATTCAAGGAACGGATACGTTTCGGTTCTTCAAAAAAGCCAAACCGAGAAACAGAAACTGTAATATTTAAATTTTTATAGATATTACAATACTTGCAATAGAGAAAACCTGTGCGAACTGTAGAATTGCCATTAGAGAATTTCTATAGGATTTTTAATTTAATGTGGTATGTAAAGAAATATCAGGATGCAATATTTAAAAAAAAAAAAAAAAACTGAAATGTTTCAGATTTTAAATTACGTCCAAAGGGGCGTTTTTTAACATTTGTGTGTTACCTTTCTTTATTAAATATCATGTTCCTCGCACTTAAACCATAAGATCCAGTGCAACAGCAATATCGCAAAATAGTTTTTAAAACGAGCATATATCTTTAGAAGTTTCCGATACAGAGACTCACGCGCTGGAGATAAAAATGTTTTTTCTGCACAACGTTGCCATTGCTCGCTTTGAAATCCTTGAGTTTGTTAATCAAAAATTCGTCAAAGTTTTAAAAAAATAGGAAATCGATCATAAAACAAATTTCAAATTTCAAATTTGGTCTTCCACATGCTCATATTCGTTGGAGGATTACGTTATTCAAAAATTCGATGACTCTATGTACCGTTATTTTATGACAATGTAAGAAATATACATACATTTTACGCAGATTTTCATTATTTAATTTCTTCAAATATAATGCAGGACTCTAACATTTTATGGCAACAGTTTGAAAAGTGAACCGACATTTATCCGTCCGACGCAAAATGCCAAAACGAAAGTAATAGTCCTTCGGGACTCAAGTCCCTTTGGACTAAAAAGTCTACAGTTTCAGAAATTAAATTAAATTGAGCATATGTCAACGAAAATTATTTTTCAACAATAATGTAAATCTTTATCTGAAATCATTAACGGTATTCAGTTAGGCTTGTAGAGATTATTATCATATTTTTGGAAGCGAGAAACATTAAAAATCATTTGTGTTCTCGCGGTATTACCACATCATCGTATCTTCCAGTCACTGTAGTTTATAACTTTAGCATAAGCACTTCAAGACCTTTAGTACCTCCCTCCATTTACCATAGCAACCCGTGTCGTCATCACCGCTAATTTCCGTCACCTCATTTGAGACAATAATATAAGTTGGCTTTTATGCGTGCGCTTTTCGCGAAACAAAACACGCTAAAAGGAAATTAATTGAAAAACAGTAACTTCGGTAGATGTCATTGCCATCATTATTAGGTAACACGGGAAGGGACATAGACCGTAAAATCGCAAATAAATCGACTAAAATAGCATAGTATAATGGATGTGCAAACTGTTTACATCCCAAGAGAATGCATGGGGGGGAATAAAATAAATCCTCCCAAGCTTGATGAATTTAAATTATATAAATCAGAACTAAATCTTCTAGTAATTTATTTTCTAAAGCTCGAGATACCTTAGTAGTTTATTCCTGTTTACGGACCTTTATTCGCAGTTACTGTATGCCATTTATTGGTTTCTGCACTGATAAAGTGTAATCAAAGTAATTTTGAGGAACTCCTCCACGAAATTATCCCTCCTTAATCATATATTATGTTGAATTCTTTTAAATCAATGAAACAGTCAGTGAGTATTGTCCAAAAAATAAAAATCAACTAAACTGAAATAAAATTATATGCACATCAATCAAACGTTATATCAACAAAAAGCATTTTCTTCCAAATTAAAAAGTGCAAAATTAAAAGAAAACGACAGGTCCGAAACTGTTAATATATAATCGATCTGATCATAATGTTAAATAAACAAGCATTAACATTTCGTGAAATCTATTAAAATAGAGATTCTTGTAATAACTTCCAAATAAATATTTATTCACATAATAATTTATGTACATATTACTTTACAGAAAAATAATTTTTGGTAATAATTCATACCATACGCAGAAATATTTGAATTGTTATACAAATAAACCATTTAGACAGTTAAGTTTCCTTTCAGCTAATAAAATATCGTCAATAAGAATTCATTTTCTTGCGTAGAATGAGTAGCATATGAGATTTTAAATAATCAGGAAAGAGAGACAGAATTCGATAATATATACTCTAACTGAAAAATGAAAGACGTCTATCAAAAATAACCTATGATAAAATGTCGTTCTTTCTGATATACGTTTAATAGTCTGCATTAGGTAGTAAATATTGTTACGAATTTTGTACATAAATGGATAATTTTAGTAATTTTTGTGAAATTGTTATTTTTCTGTTTAATGTAGCGCGAAATATATTTTAAGAGAAAGCTATGCCGGAAAAGTAAGAACAGAGGAGCCAGTGCATTTAACATTGAGTAAACAGTTGCATTTAACATTTAACATTGAGTTGTAACATAACCAGTGCATTTAACATTGAGTTGTAACATAGGTATATCGGTAATTTGTCGAGATATCGCCAAGCTGACAACGGTTTTGGCGACTTTTTTTTTTTGACAACGGTTTTGACGACGTTTTTTGTGTAGCAAAATTTGGCAAGAAATCGCCAAAACTCGCGAAATTTGGCAATATTTGAGTCCGGTCCCTGTATCCCCGTAATATGTATTGAAATTGAATAAATATAATTGACAGCTAAGTTAGCCGTAACCGTAATCCCGCATTCTTATTTCTTTCCAGTAATTTCGAGAAGCAGAAAGTACTAGAAATATCTCGGTGGGCGGTTGAAAGCTGTAAAAGCCCAGAGGGAGAGCATCTGATTTCAATTGTTTATTTATTGTTGTTGCAAATTGTAGTTCCGCGTGAACTGAGATAAATCCCAGTTAGATTTCTCTTTAGATGCGCTTAGCTTTGCGTTGTGTTTAGCGTTCTTGGTAATTTGAAGTGTAACTACTAATTATACTGTGTGATACAGTGAACACTTGTACGTATATTTCTCTGAAAAATTCCAAAGTTATGAAATAATTCTTTTGATAAAAATAAATTTTATTAACCTATTATCGGACTTATTCATTCACTCTATTACGAACCCGTATGCAGGCAACAATATGTAGGTATTAAATCAATCTGACTGGTAATAATCAACTCAATTTTCTCTTCTCACTAGCAAGATAATAAAATTTGTTGTAACGTGTTAGAGCCGTCCTTTCTTATTACGTTATAAGAAACTGAGTATTGTTTCGAAACAGTTGCAGCGAAAGATTAAATCTTGCTGATCTATAACAACACATGTTGCATACAATTGATTATCGCTTTCTTGTATATCGACTTCGGAAAACTCACAGCCTACCTGATAAGTAAACTTTCACCTTTTCCCTATTAGTCGATGTGTGACACATTTTTGCTTTGTAAGCAAATCCACTCCTTCTAATAGAAACACAGTGTATTACACAGTATTTCTTTCCCTTATTTTTATGAACAAAATTTAATTTATATCTAATATATCTATATATGCATATATATATATATATATATATAAGAATTTAACTTCCAAAAACATCTACAACCACAAGAGTTAAATTACTACAAACACACCTACAGATATATTGATGACCTTATTACAATTAATAATTTTGGTAAAATTGAACACTCCGAGATTTATCCGAATTGTCTTACACTTAATAAAACTAATAATTCACAAAATAGCATAGACTTTCTAGATCTTCAAATCATTAACTACAAAAAATTTTTACTTTTTGACAAAACAAGAAACTTCAATTTCAATACTAACAAATTAATAAATTGGAACTCCAACATATCCAAAAAAGTAATAATTAACAATACTATAATTAATCAAATACAACGAATTAAAATTATATGCACAGATACAATAGATTTACAACGCGAAATTTTGCTCCTTATTAAAATTCTCAAAAATAATCTAATACCCATTCAATTTATCAACCATTGCCTTAAAAGAGCAGGCGTTAAATACTCACTCTAAATCATGTAACTGATAGGGATATGATAATTTGTTCCTAAACCTGAGAAGGCGGTATAAGTTGGATGACTATCAGTTGAAGGATTTGTATATAGTGTAATTACTCAATTGTATATATTGTAAAAAGCTAATTGTCTTCAGACTCATGCTGTTTACTATACTGTTACTAAAAAAATGGGCCTATTTCATGACTTTAGTCTGTCTAATAGCTCTTGGACAGTGAAAAATTCCTTTTTTCCTTTCTTAAATTCTTAATCATTGCGACACGACAATTAGCCAGAAATTAATTAATTTCCATTCACTAGTATTTTCAAAAAAAAAATCTTAACAGACAGTCTCCCTCAAATAAGAACTCCACATAATACATCCCTCAAGAATTCCAAGTCCAACCCACTACCATAAATTACTTCACCCAAGTCTTACCGACTGATATTATTCAAAGCCCCCACTGCCGCTAAGAATTTTCGGACACCCTAACACTTATGAGTCAGACACGAAGAGAACACTTTGCCAACTCCCCCACTAGAAAGAATGTAAGTTACTTAATACCTTTTCTGGCCTTTATATCTTCATGTACATTCACTGTTCTTATTATATATTATTTTTACATTTTTATTTATTTTATATTGTCTTTGATTTGTTTTTACAAAGTTTGCATTATTTATCTTATTTTGTAATCTTCTATGTTTATTTCAACTTTACTTTGAATTCGATTTCATAATGAACAATTTCCAATGTTTAATTTTTACAAATAATATAGAACTCAAATGCATAAACATGAAGGGTCGGGGACGGTTACTCGGGTTATATCGGATTTCTCTACAGTAATTGCTTTTTACTCCAAATTGAATTGACTAAAATGCTTCATAAGAATAAGTTCTTTGAGTATCAAGCATTGGATCATAATCCCTTCTATTCGCGGAAATATTTGGCCTGACTAGAATTGCCGGTTTGGCTTGGCTTTAACTTATAACTCGAGTAAAGACGAAACACTTTCGTATTTACGTATTTTTATCAATTATTGTTCATTGAACGGGAGTTTGGTTTGTTCCCCTTGAAAAGTCAACTTAATTTCCGATCAATGACAATGATTACATGTTTTTTTAATTTTCCTTTTACAATTGAAATTTTATTCTTCATGATGATTTAACTCTAGTCCCCGTTAAAACATTATTATTAACATTTTGCTTTCAAATTACTTCAAAACATCTTTCAAAATATAACTTACCAGTATGGATTCACTCTTTTAAAATAATTCTACTTTAATTAAACTTAGGAGATAATATAATCAATTAATCAATATGTTTAGGAAATAAATTATTATAACTAACTTTGCAGCAATTGCGCAAGTAGTAATACTGGACTAAGGATTAAGATCATACAATGTATATATATATATATATATATATATATATTATAATAACATATAAATTAAATTTTGCTAGAATAAAGTTACAAATTAAAACTTTATTAGAATTAAATTCGATTTCCATTAGAAAATTAGTTTAGTTAAAACTTTTAACTTTATTAAGACTAATTAAAAATAATTAAGTTATAAAAGAAATGCAAAGTTAAATTAATTAAAAATTGAAACTATTTAAATTAAGCAAATTAGTTAAGTTAGTTAAACAATTCGCAATTTAAAAAATTGAATATACTTAATTCCTCCCCTTTTTGAACTAACTTATCATGCAAAAATCAAGAGGGGGAAATTATATGAGTAATTAAATTTCCGAAGAATGTGGTTGCAAAAAGAAAAAAATAAAACTAGTCAGGGTGTTGAGTCATTAGGATTATTTTGAAGCAAGAGACTTGTAAAATGATCAATGGATTCGCCGGGAGTCGAACCTCGGACCACTCGAATACGCGCGGAGCGTGCTAACCATTACACCACAAAGCATGCAAGAAGCCGGGAGAAATATCTTATAATGAATAAACTGCAGGTAATTATCCCAATAAAGTTTTCGAATTCAATGAGAAATTCAAAAATTAATTTTGGCGCATTTTTTCATTTTTCGCCAAGAACAATTCACTTGGCGAACTTCTTAATATATGGCAACCTATTTTCCTTTTCCTTTTTTACATTGTGCATGGCCGGGAAAAAGTTACTTCTTTTCTGTTTTCAAATAATTTTAACGTAGGATTATATTTTTTATCTTTAAAGTGTCTAAACCCAATTGATGTTATTATCGCTTTCAACAGATATGCTAAAATTTCAAAACGCGCCAATATATATAAATTCACGTATATCTTCGGAAATTTTGAATAAAAATCTGTATTTTTTTTTTTTTTTTTTTTTTTTTTTTTTTGCAGGTATGCTTAGAAATACATGTACTTTAAGATGATGGTAAAAATTTTGTAGATCATAATTCAAAATTTTTGTTTCGGCAAATTTGTAAAAATTATTTAAAAAATAAATTATGTGAAACGGGCGAATTTTATTTGGAACGAACCTAAATTTTGAAATGTGAAAGGAAGAATCAAATAAATATTAATAAGAAAGAGGAATTAATAAATATATATCAAATTCAATTAACATTGAGGAGCTAACATTTTGACTCGATGGATTTTTACAAAACTTGGCAGTTTGGCGTAATTTGAGTCTTAGAATCTGAATATGGAAACAAATTGGCTTGTCATTTCAGAAAAAGTGCGATCTTGTGTCAAAATACCTATATTAGAACAATGCTATATATAAATCTAATACATATCCTACGTCGTGCTTTCGAGACATGAGAAACGCAAGTTAAAGTCCATCAATCGACCCAGTAGAAGGAAAGATATAGAATGGTACATTTTTTTTTTCGCAATGTACTTCAACGAAGTTGTAGTAAAAACAAGAATACTTTTAAAAAGCAATAAAGAAAAACATAAGGAAAAGAAATCTGAAAGGATGCAAATTTTGCTTTCGCTGAGTATTGCAGGTTACCAGTCTGCTTCTGGATTCACTGCTGCTAACACAGGTTTTTATTTTTTTATCTTTTTAGCTTTATTATAAATCATCGTTTTCTCCATACCTACGTTAGATAAAAATCAAGAGCAAAATCACAAAATAGTTTAAAGGAGCTTATCTTTATAATCCTTGTCTGAGTGTTAGAGGTTTGTCATGCATACTTTATATTCACTATGTTATTTATTTGGAAAACAGCCGCTCTGGCGGTTCGCCGCATAAGTGAGTTATCATAAAAATAGAAAAGATGATTTTAATGAGTTAAGCTAGTGTTATTTCACAATGATATTTAATATTTATTACGTGGTATCCTGCGATGTAAATGCACTTTTATTTAAATAAATCAGATTAAAAATAGTAAAAATGTTTTTAAGAACTTTTCAGTCGTTAGGTTTGGTAACTCAGAATCATAAAGATTAAATTTGAAGTTACCGATCTTACGCCTTACTGAATGGCAACAGGCTGGTGCGTGGAGACAATAAGCATTTTATCTAAGGCAATGGCAATGCATTGCCTTCAAATAGCCGAATTTGTGATAAGATTATAGGATGAATATCTTATATTTCGCAAACTGCAACAGTTGTTAAATTTGGACAGAATATGAAAATAATAATAATAATAATAATAAAAACTCGAAATCGAAAATACGGGCTTAGAAGTATCCATGTTCATGTGGAGGACTACACATGAACAATTCGTGGTTCATGTGTAGCAAAACGAGAGGAACATACATATTTTCATTACGTAATTTTTTTAAATAATGCTTTGCGATAATATTTGGTGGCAGAAGTTTGAAATGTGATTTGGACACAAAAAGTGAGATTAAAGACTAATAGCACCGTAATTATAGTAATTAAAGAAAATTAAACAAGTGGAAACCCGATATGTGACTAACGTTTTTATTCTAAATGATGCACTTTGCTATTCCCTTTGAAGCAGAATACTGCGTTTAAAATAAATTCAATTTGTTACAGATTCTGTGTCTAATGCATTGTTTTAAATGACGATATATTTTTCAGCTGCAGATGCTGAAGATTGGGATGAAGTTTTCGAGGAGATTGATTATAAAAGGATTTTCAATACTTCTACTACAGAAATGGAAGGCATTGAAATTACAACTCAGGTGGTACCTCTGTACAGGCTTCGTACTGGACAACATAATATCATGAATCCAAATGATCAGTTTCAAAGAAATAATGACAGAAAATATAATAAGAATGGATTTCAAATACATAGACATCAAGGTGAAAATGGCTGATTTTAATATTCATAATAGTGAACTGCTGCACTTTTAAATTATAAGTCTTTATAATAAAAGCTTTATAACTGAATGTGTTCCATTATGTTTTATACTTTTATAAATCGTAAAGATACGTAAAATTAATTTATACGCAATTAAAAAAGTTCTATTTGTTTATTTTTTACTGATCTGAAGTCATTAAGAAAAGTTCAGTTTACGTTTAAGCTGGCAGTTTATTACAGATATGAGTATGAACAATTTTTTGGAATCCAGTATGTTCTACGTAAAGATCATTACGATTTATTGTGTAAGAAACATGAAAAATAAGCTGTGAGTTCGCTGGGGTTCGAACCATGGATCTTTCTGCTCGTGTGTTGAGCATAGTAACAGAGGTATGGAAGAATGTGCTAATTCTTTATAATCGCCTTCATTTAAAAGGGAGAGAGACACAAGATCCAGTTGACCAAATTCCGTAGATCAGGAATAATCACCCACCACATTTTAATTTGGGCGCCAATGTAGGCATCATTAAAATTTTCGGAAAAAGAACCGTATAAAGCTAACTTTGTCATCTCCGAAATTTGAACTACAGATTTGATAATTTGCTACCATCCACACCAGGAGATTATATAAGAAGAAATGCGAAAGTTCCTTACAAATATTAAGAGAAAAACTGTGAAAAAGAAAAAGCACTAACATCATTTGATACCAGACGATAAAGAAGCATCACTGCCATCTCACACAGTAGAATATCAAGACTTCAAGAAATAAGGTTAAGAATATTAAAGTTTTCATCTTGCATAAAAATTCCTTCTTGTGAAGATATACATGTCTTCACTAGCTAATTGTACTGTATTTATAAATAATTAATTTATTTTCCATTTATCGTTTTCAGTGTCCATTATCCATCATTGCCCATTCATCATTGTCCATTATACATCATTGCCACTTCGTAATTTGTATTATTCTTTCAATAATGTAAGCGAGTTTTGACCATCACTATCTTATTTTATTAATTCTTTCATAAATTCGTTTCATCAGTGTCTCTTATTATTCCATGAATTTCAAAATATTTCCATGAATAGCCCGTATAAATTTTCTTTATAATTCACTATCCTTTATCACTCATTTTATTTCATGAATATCCTTGCATGGCAGAAATTTACATGAACATTTTGCCTTACAATTCTTTTCATGATAGTATATATACCCGAATATCATTTTCAAGGATGTATTCTGATTATTATTGACCTAGGAAGAATAGAGTTTTATTTCTCCCAAACTATCACTCAAACCCTAAATCAAGCATTACAGTAAAATAATTAGAGTGGCTTTTAGTATACCTAAATCGTACTGAACTAATACTAGCATATTCATTTCGATATCGCAGACTTGCCAATCCTGCGACATCGGATATATTCCACGCATGCTACGACCCCAAAGATTTAAGAAAAGATTATTTTGATAAACCCAAGCATGGCTGTCAAATAATATATCCTAACAATTCTCCTCTTTGAAATATTTTTTTTTACGGAAAGGAGTTTAAATGGAGTTTTTTTAATTTATGCAGCTAATAACATTACTTCTATGGACGCTACTTCTACGGATTCAAAAGCTGAAAAGCGAAAAACGTGAAGTTTGGTAGAACTAGGAGTGAATAATTACAATTTTCAAACAAATCTTAACTGCAGCTCCCTGTTTTTGCTAATAACCCAGAGTTATTTATTACCATACATTCCTTGGTTGTATTCACTCTAAAAGAGGAAATTCGTTCGAGAGCTGGAAAAACTTTTATTTCAAAAATTTTGAATAAAGATTATGAAGAAGTTTTATTGGGAAATTCTAATTCACAAAAATTTTAATTTTCAGTGGTAGGGAATAATAACAAAAAAAAAATAGTTAAATTTTGATCCAGAAAGCATAATTTTTGCATGAAATGCAACTTCAATAGAATGATCGAAAGAAATGAAACACACCAAACGTCTAAAAAAGATTTATACCATCATCCAAAAAATACTCTCAGTCAAAAAGCGCTTTTTGTTGCCGCTTCCGTTAAAGCAAATTTAGCGAAATTTTAATTTCAATATCCCTTATCCTGCGGGCTACGTTTTGCTTTTTAAAGTGAATTCTTAATTTAAAATACACTATTTTACAGCATTCAAACTATCAAAGATATAAAATAAGAGAATGAAAAAACAGTCCACAAGTTTAGTTTTTACGAAAGCATCCAGAATTTCTGCGAATATATCAAACGATATAATGTTAGAAAAATATACATGAAAGGCTAACTATTAATAATAATCTTTTAGGGGAAATGTTTTAGACACCTCTATGTATAATTAATTAAAGAAAATACTTCAGAATGTAGACTATCAGTCTCTGAATTATTCAGACTAAGCTAAAATATATGTCATTTTAGTAATTTTATTGAAGTACGATATGAACACGTACTGTACAAACTGTACTTACGGTCATACAGTACTTCAAAAAAGTATTCTGCTTTAAATTTCAAAATTTTCGTTTATTAAAGACTTAACAAAAGAGAGTTTGGTTTCTATGGACAATGTAAATAAACTCAGAACAAATTATTGGGTTGTTCGGAAAGTAATACCGTTTTTTAAAGTACAGGGCTTAATTGTATTTTTTAATTGTATAGTCATTATATATTTTAACAGCTGATATAGCAAGGCTTGTTTGTTGAAAAGATCGATTGATTCTACGTAATGGTTTTGAGTTGGTATCCTTTCTAATGTGGAAAGTGAAAAGCAGCATTTTCGGCATATTTTACTTCTTTAGTATTAAAAAGTTAAAAATGCTGTTTTTAACATTTTAATAGTAAAAGCAAGAAACCATTTATGCGATGTGTATGGAGAAGAGGTATTGATAGAACGCCAGTGCCAAACTTGCAAAATTTTGATCCGGCAATTTTGATCTTGAAGATGCGCTATGTTCTAGAAGGTCAGTTGAAGGTGATGAAGAGCTTAAGAACATAAGGAACCCATATGTCGAGCTTTGAGATTAAATCTAGGCGTTTTAAATAACCATGAACGGTCGAATTCGATAAATTTAATCTCTCAGTGATCTTATGAGTAGTTATTCCGCCGTTTAGCCTTTATTGTGGCTTCTTCAGCTTCAACTGACACTCCAAAACGTGGTGCATCTTCAAGATCAAAATTGATGGATAGAAATTTCGAAAACTAGTTTTGGCACCAGCATTCTGTCAATTCATCTTCTCCATACACATCGGACAACTGTTATCTCGCTTAAATAGCATTTATACCGTTTCGATAGTAAGAAAGTAAAATATGCCGAAAATGCTGCTTTTCACTTTTCACATTTAAAAAGGCGCCAAACAAAAACTTCTGTATAGAACCAATAGAACATTTTCACAAACAAGCCTTGGTGTATCAGGTGTCAAAATAAATAATGGTTAAGCGGCTTAAGTGTGATGTTGACTGTGAAAAAATACAATTAAGCCCTCTGTTGGGAAAAAATCGAAATTACTTTCCGAACAACCCAATATATAAGAACAAAGCAGAAAGAAAAAGAAAGAGAATTAAACGAAAATAGATCAGCCATAAATAAAATTGAAAAATCAAAATTTTGGAAAAACTAGAAAGCAAAAATATGAGAAGTACCTGAATGGAACAGAACAAAATACTACCCACTATAATACAGAAACTAAACTCTGAAAAGGGTGACGGCAATTCTGAAATTCCGCCATGCGAGTAACACAAATCTTAAATTGCGTTCAAATCTATAATAATAGGCGTAATAGAAGAAACCAACTTTAAACTAAGGAAACATTTAGCATTAAGTTGCTGCTGGTTCAAAGAAGTGAAGAAAAGTGTATTCTTTCCCTTTGCCATTTTGTTCAGAATTTTTTCTCTTTCTTCCTTCCCATGAATATATGCATACATAATAAAAGTCTTTCTTAATTGTTTACTTTTGAGGAACTATAAATTCATATCCTTTATGCTTTCACATTTTACTCTTCAATTTTCGTACCCTTCTAAGGCTTTTAACTTCTGTGCAACATGGAATCAAGTTACCATTCCTTGTGACTTAACCCACATTTTTCGAAACGAATGGGTCATATTTTTCCTTCGGAAGCTTTAAAAATAAATAAATAAAAGCTCCGATTCCTAAGTGCACTCTTCAAAATCATGTTTGCATAGATAAAAAAGCAGCTAACAGTTTTTTTACCCCCTCCAGCTCTTCTTTTTTATTCTTCCTAGATCTTCTTTTTTTTTCTTTTTCGTAATACGATGTAGATATGATTTTTCTTGTCTGCTTCTACTACTTCAGGCAATTTTTTTCAGGCGATGCGTTTCGTTGATATCAGTTTGTTGTTATCGCACTTGGTACGTGATCGAATTTGGAAAGTGATGTTTTGATTTGGCGATAGTAGTTGGCTCATTTTTGTGTCGTAAAATATTTATGTTACATTTTACTACTTCCAAGATAAGACCAAATTTTTAAGCGACATGATTCGAATACGGAAAGTAATTAGAATGATAAAGTCTTAAAACAATATTATTCTCTCCTCTGAAATATGGAAAATATTGAAACATAACCTTTCAATTAAAGATAACAAAAAGAGACACAGTTTGACAAATTTTTATATTCAAGCTATTATTTCTATCACCTTTGCTTTCGTTTGAAAAACTAGGCCTAAAATTAGGCCTAGTTTAGCCTTTTTTTGTTTGAAAAAGCCCGATTAGCCTAAAAACTTGTAATCTTTTTTATTTGAAAGAATTTCGAATTCATTTAATGTAAACAAATTTCAAACTCAATTTTTTGTGCAAGTCCGAAATACAAATGTTTTGGAATAAAAAAAAGAAACAGATAAAGCATTTGGAAGAAATAAATGCGACACTTTATGTTTTAATAAAACTTTTATTAAGAAAATGTATATTCAGATGATATTATTTATTCGAAAAACATACTTCCCTGAAATAAAAGCATTTTCATGCTTTAGAGTAAATTTCAAATTACATTTCCTCAAGAAACCTAAATTCGTATCATATTATCGATATGAAGTTCAATCAGTAGGGAAAGGAAAGTAAACTTTTCCACATTAAGTCCAAATTTTTCACATGAGAAACAGATTCGGCTCCAATTGCGGTGCCCTAAGCAATAAGTACAATTAGCACTCCATATAAATTTAATATATTAATAACTAAAAGTAAAATATACTTTAACTCCGCTTACGGAAGAATTTAGCTGTCGCCTTGGGCGACTGCCTATGTCGCTTATTCTTAAAGCTGGCTTAGGAAATTCGCAAGATCTATTAATAATTCTATTCATGAGTCATATTTCATTCCCATCTATTCATAAGTAAATTAAACCA